GGGAGAGGCAGCATGGGGAAAAGGGAGAGGCAGCATGGGGAAAAGGGAGAGAGAGAAAGAGAAAGGGGAGAGAGAGCTGGGGAATGGGAGAGTGAGGGTGGGGAAGTGGCAGGAGAGAGAGAGTGGTAGTAGCTGAGGGAGATAAAGAAAAAGAGTGAAATGATTAGGGAGAGAGCAGCTAGAAGAGAGAATGGGGATAATATACGAGAAGGGGAGAGCGGACTGGAGAGAGAGAGAGAGGGGGGGGAGAGAGAGCGGTGCAGCGGAAGATAAAGAACAAGAGCGAAAAGAGTAGGGTGAGAGTGCAGCTAGAAGAGAGAGGAGTGGGAATAATATACGAGAAGGAGAAAGCGGACGAGAGAGATAGAGCGAGAGAGATGAGAACTGTAGGAGAGAGAAATAAAATGTACATTTATCTTTTTACTTGTGCAAACCTGTGTGCGGTTGTTCTATCAATGACTTACTTCACTTCCAGAATGGCTGGGTTGGTTTCCATAATGGCTACAATAATACGGTCGATATAATCCTGTAAGCGCAGGTTGATCTCCTCTTGTTTCTGAATAGCCTCCATAAGCTGCAATGTATGATGCATTTAAACAATGTAAGGAGGTGCGGGTTTCAGTTACTGCAAACACTGCACACAGACATGAGGCCCATACAAACAATGTGGGTACGGGATGTATTTGATGGAATGTTTGAAGCCTGAGATTTTTAAGAAAAAGAAACATTTAGTATTCTGGAGCACAATGTGTGTCAGTACTTGACACAGGAGGGATTGTGATAATGAAAGCCATCCTGCATCAGGTGATTCGAGGGGGGGAGAATGGATGGGGACTGGTGATGTGGCAAAAAATTTGCCCTTTTTTAGGAACAGGAGTGAACGCATTTAGTGCAATGTAATACCAATATAGTTTACAGGACAAAAAGGGAGCAGAGTTCATAAACCCTTGTCCCCAGAACAGGAAGTGAGGCAAAGGTTTAAACCTTTGTCGCTTTCTTATTGCTTGCTGTGTCTCTTTCTCTTCCTGTCCTCTAAGGGTGAGAGAAGATGTCCAAAGGACAAGGAGAAATCTTGGCAATGGTGACGCAAACACTAATATTAGCTTCTCAGAGATTTCGCACTCCATCCAAAGAAAAAATAATTGCTGGAACCGAGCTCTATATAATATTTGTTATCTATATATATTTGCTATCACCAGCATGTTGGCGATGTACGACATTAAAGGGTAGTCTACTCCACATATTCTGGGAATGCCCCAAGATACGTCCCTTCTGGATATCTACAAGGATTATGCTTCAAAGATTAATCGATAAGACAATACCAGATGACCCTGTACACTTGCTTCTAGGCCTCCCTATTCCACATTTTCCGAAACCCATCACCAAATTCATTAATCATGTTTTTACTGCAGCAAGATGCCTTATAGCCTTAAAATGGCGACAATTAACTTCTCCGTCTCATGAAGATCTATTGCGAAGGATCCATGATATCCACAATCTGGAATATCTAACGGCCCGATTGCATAATACTATCCCTGAATTTGTTAAGGTGTGGTCTCCCTGGCAAATAGTCGAGAGAACTAGGAGCGATGATACATCCCCTGATGTTCTTCATTTCCCGTGAGTAAGAGAATGAGTAGGGGATAAGACATCCCCTCCCTGTTTAATGTTTATAACTTTTTTTTTGTTGTTGTTGGTTTTGTTTTGTTCTATAGTTCTGTATTTATGTTGAAACCTAAATAAAAAGCAAATTGATATATAATATTTGTATTGAAACCCTAGCAATCCACTTTCTTGAGATTCTGCCGTATAAGATATTAGCCTGGCCCGGCACCTCCTCTCCCCCCTTGCCCTGCTGTTGACGCCAACAATAAATCCATAAATCTGCCCTTTGGAACATACTGGATACCAATTATAAAACAGAACTGCATTTTACAGCCTATTGGAGCAGTTTCTCTCCTAAAGGTAGCTGCAAATATGAAAAACTATAGCTACTGATTCTGCAACATCAAGGGGGAAGGATATCACTACGTTGTACTACGTTGTGTTCCCAGCATGATTGGACATCACTGGCGCCCTACCAGTAAGACAAATCTATTCCTCCTCACCTCATCTCTAGAGACGCTGCTGATCTCTGCAGCCAGAGAGTCGGAGAATGTAGTAGAGAACAAGTTTTTCGCTCCCTGGATGCTAAGATTAATAATCTGTCCATTCAGTTCTTCATTCTGCTCCTTGAGGGCCCGTTGTTCCTGCGGAGAAAGTACAAAGAGACAAATAGCCCACTGAGTGGAAGGACATTAGGAGACAGATGGACAGCATACACGCAGGGTGAAGGAGTGCTCGGCATATGTGGAAAAGAATGGAATGCTAAACTTGTACAAAAGCTCCGCTATTAAAATCGAGCCCCAAGCAAACAGCTAAATACACAGTTGTAATGCAGATATGTGAACGAGGAAAAGGATTTCTAATTCTGTGCAGTTGCTTTTGGGATACATCGTTCTGCCAGACAGCACAGGAAGGAGGGTGACATCACTAGTCCCTAGGAGGTAGAGTTAGAGGCGGAAGAGACATAAAAACTTTGTCCCTACTCCTGATGACTTTCTGGGGGTTTTTTTGTATGTTGCAAGCCGCATGCGCCCTGCATTGTACCGCCCGACTAAAACAGCTAGATGCAAGAGACAAAGTAACTCTGTGTGCAGGTACACATCATCAGTAGCCGCCCAATGACCAAAGAGGATTGCAGCGGGATACGGAAGAATCTACAGCAGAGATGGTGTTGGTGGGCAAAGCAGCGCTGACAGGATCCTGGACCCATCATTGCTGGAGGACAGCGCAGAAGGAGGTAGCGGTGTGTCATAATCTGCAAGTATGCTGTGTATATCAACGCAGAATACAGTAGGGTCACAGTGAAGCAGCAACACACTGATAAATCATCAACCCACTCTGCTTTCTTCTCCTGTCAGCATGTTCCCTATCTGCACAGCTGCATGCACAGCTACCCTGAGATGTCTCATTTAACCACAAAATCTGTAAGTACCTGTTTAAGTCGTCGGACCTCTTGTTCTAGCTCAGCCTCCCTGGTGCGGCTGTTGTATTCCTGCAGCGCGGCGCTGTTTCCCAAGCCCATTTTCTGTTCCATTTCAAGACGCATGAGCTGCATCTGTTCCAGCTCCCGCCGCAGCTCTTCTATGACCTATTAAAAAAAGGAAGAAAGGTAATTGGGTCATTAATGTAATGCCCAAACTTATTGAACCCAATATATAGCATTAGCAGTGTTCCTCGTAGCCTCGTAGTGTCATGTGTCCATCGTTGCCTCCTCCCAAATGAAAATGTCCCTAAGGCCCCATTCACACTTGGCGATTTGTCGCGCAAATGCTTGCATCAAAAAGCATTGAATCGCGGCAAAATCCGCTCCAAAAAGGGTCCTGCTGTAGCGACACACGACCCACGACAGCAGGACCCTTTGCCCCATTGCAAAGCATTGAAGATCGATATCGCGCGATAAATAGCCGCGATATCGCGGGAATTACCGCGCGATAAATCGCTCAATGTGAACGGGGCCTAAAGGCAGCAAACTCTGGTTGTGTTTGCACTATGCTGGCTCTTGGTATCTAATGTCATTCCTTCCAAGTCTGCTCACAGCTTACTATAGACTCATCAATGTGGTCTTGTCTACTGGCAACAAACTCCATCACACCTTGGTATCATATTTGGCCCATGACTATGTTTATAATGAGGGCATGCCCTGGGATCTACTTACCAGTTGTCCAAGCCTTTTTTTTTATCATGCAGCAATAAAAACAGGCTGGTACTGTCAAATAATTCTCCATCAATTCAAAATCATAGCCCTGAGTAATATTAGGATATGCGAACGACAAGTTAATGTTTTTTGTGTATTCTTGTCATTTCTCTGGTCGCATTGCTCATTTCATGCAGAACTACTGACTAGACAACTCTGCCTACACGCTGACCTCCCAAGCTCCTTCCGCAGGGCCTATGTGAATGATGCCTTAGTGCGGTTCATATGCCAGGTACAAGAAGGATTTAAAACGAGACAAATTGCAGGACAAGGGTCATTTTTTTCTTACTATTGTTTCCTGTGTTTGAGAGGTAGGAGTCGGTGGCCTGGGTGTAATTCTGCAGTACAGTAACATCTGGATAATAATCATGTACCGTGTAGGTTGGCTATGCTCCCTGTGTGCATCTCATTTTGAATTCTGACTATAGTGTACTTTCAGGGCTTGTTCAAACCATATACTCCTCTTATGTTCGCCTCCAGGACTTCTCTAGAGTCTCTCCCATCCTCTGGAACTCTTTATTCCAAACTATCAGTATCTCCTACTCTGACTGCCTTTAGGCGATCCCTAAAGACTCATCTCTTCAGGGAACCCTATCCCACCTCAACCCAACCACTGAACCATCATATTCTCAAACAATTCATCCCCACACAGCTACCTCCTCATGTATCACTTTTCCCTCCCTGTTAGAGTGTAAGCCCTCAGGGCAGGGCCCTCCTTACCATCTTGTCTTGAATTATATTGTGACTGTACTGTCTTCCTTATACCCTTCCTTATACCCTGTTCAGTAGCACTCTCAGTTGGCTATGATTAAGGACCAGTATGGGGGCTGAAACATGTAAGCAGTTGTTTGTTTGCTGCTGTTATGCCTTTTTACATATAAAGTATTGGATGGACGGACCCCCTTGTGAGTGCCGGTTCTTTACCTATTGTCCAGTAGCACACTCACCTTGTGACAGTGGTGGTGTTTGAGGATTAGCTCAGCGCTGTCGCATGGAGTGAGTCATGCACACCTCCATATGACTAAGTACCTGGTTTATTCTTTGCTTCTGGCAGCTGAACTGAGTGGTGGGGGAGTGAAGGAAGGGTTATAGCATGTGCTGCTGGAGAGAGGAGCTGTTGCTTACAAACCCCTGATGTCTACAGAGACCCCGAGAGAGATCATTTAGGCAAAGAAAATTGCTTGCACGTTGTAGACCACAAAAGCAACAAAAAAGGTCACATGGGTCATGGAACTGTCACCAGAAAAAAGAGAAAGGCACATGGACATAAAACAAGGAGATAGAGAAGTGGGGTAATGGTCACAGGAGAGCAAGATGAGGTCACATGGGAATGGGATAAGGTCACATGAGTATACTGAGGTCATATACGTTCACCAATGAGAACGGAATATTCTTACCTCCTGACATCTTTCTTTCTCAGTCTGCTGTTTGTGCAGCTCCTTACTGAGCTTTCCCCCCAGTTTTCTATTCTGATCCAGGTGGTCTTGGAGCTGACGCTGAAGGTCCTCCACCTGATCCAGCAATTTATACTTCTCCTGTAGATAAATACGAAGAAATAGAACAAAGGAAGAGTACATAATGAGGCATTGTGTGTGCCAATTACTAACCAAGAACTAAATAATTGTAAAAATGAGATTGCAAAGCAAGAATACTTTCCACGGTCATTCCTTGACTTTTATATCAGACAAATTCAGATGTAAACATACCACCACACATCGCCCTGGCTCAGGGATAAGCTTACCATATTAACCGATTAATGTTCAATGAGACCCTGTCACTACCTAAATGAAATTAAAAACAGGTGCATGGAAAACAAGGCTTGCAATATGTACCTATCCCACTGCTGATCTCTACTGAATTGAAAAGACACCGCTTCCTGAAGAATACTCTGTATAGGAATTTTCCAGGCGTGTCAAATGCTCATTCCCCCTCTGTGCTTTCTGGTATGAGGGGATGAGGCATCTGAAAATTCTCTAATTGCTGAATGTAGAAACAGCCAAGATCGGTGGTGCGGGCAGCAGGCCAGGAGAGTGTTACAGCGGGCCAGGAGAGTGTTACAGCGGGCCTGGAGAGTGTTACAGCGGGCCAGGAGAGTGTTACAGCGGGCCAGGAGAGTGTTACAGCGGGCCAGGAGAGTGTTACAGCGGGCCAGGAGAGTATTACAGCAGGACAGGGGATATAAACAGCCTGTTTGCACCTCATTTGTTTAGTTAGTGTATACACGGCAATGCTCCTTATCATGCAATGCAGCAAGCTGCATTACCGGTATCAATTTATTGTAGTAACAATATAATAAACAGTACTACTCCAAAGCTCTTGTTGGATATCTACTTCCCCCACCTCGGGCAGGCACAGCACCTAAGCCCGTCTCCAATCACAGTACACCAAACAATATGGAACAAATGCCGCACACCAGGTTCAGTTTCAAAAGTCTTCATTTCACAGAGATAAGTTTGGTGATCAATCCACCCGAGATCCTCATGAAATTTGTACAACAAGTGCCTTATTGCTCCATATTGTCTAGTGGCCCATTTAATTTGATTTGGCTCCAATGCAGAAGAAATGTCACCTGCTCCATTTTTTTTTCTCCCTTTCTTCTGCAAGGCCCTACAACACATACCAGGTGCTCCACGGTTTGTAGATGTGTAGGGGGTGCCACTCAAAATGACGCACTTAAGTGTGCTAGCATGCATTGCAGCTTTTTTAAATTGGAAGGGAAATCCAACAGTGAGACATCATCGGCAAAATTCTGCAAAACGTTATGGCCGCCTTGACACATCCATTACACAGCCAAGTGATGGTGTCACACTCGGCATTCTTCATAATGCAAAATAAACAAATGGGGAATCTTGCTGCGAGGGAGTGACACTTTCATTGTGGCTTTGTGGGAGGGGGGATGCTGCTGGAGTCTCTAACACATGTAAGAATCTTGTGGATGGGTCAATCATGAGTGTACCCCCCTGAAAACTTCCATGTGCACCTTGCTTGAAAACTGGTTATGAGTTGAGGAGTGCGTCTGCCATTTGTTTTGCTTAACTGATTTGGTGCAGTGACACACTGGGGGTCTCAACTACCGTTGTGATGTGCGGGGTCCCTTGTGTGTCCCTGTGCCTTTAAGCAGGTTGGGCTGCCTCCTGGAGAACCTGCACCCAATTTTAACTTTTGCTACATGTGCTCCAAGATGGAGACTCCTATAGGTTAGAGTTAGGGCCGCACTATACAGAGGAGCCTTGGCGAGGCGGTGCGGCTTTCACATATTCTGCAGAAGACGTGTATCTAAACCTCTGTTTTTAACCTTAGTGGTGAGACAAGTTTTTTGCATGCTGGTTGGCGAGTGTGCTGGGAAACTTTTTGCTGTTCCCCTGGAAACTGGTTACACTCATTTTGTTTTGCGTCTGTCCTTACCTACATGAGACAGTAATTTAGGGCAGTACTGCTTACCTCTTCTAGCCTCTGTGTTGTTGCCTTGAAACTCGGCAGCTGAGAGCGGAGATCAGTGTTCTCGTTCTCCAGCTCTTGAAGTCTGCAGGGGAAGAGTAATTACTACACTGTAATCTTGAAAGCCCAGCAGAGTGCGCATTTTCCACATGAACATTTCGAGCAAGACAGCCCGACTGGCTCCCTCCGATCGAACCACAGTACATACCTAGCTTTAAGACTGCTCAGCTCATAGCTGCGGTCACGCTCCATTTTGCGCATATCATCTCTGTGTTTGCGAGTCTCTTCGCTTTGAACCTCGTCTGACAGCAGCTCTTGATCTTTTAGCTGTTCTTCTAGTGCATGCACCCTGATATGCAAATAAGTCAGAAGTGTCAATTACATTGGATCATTATATATTAATTCTCAATATTTTATTATTCCAAATGTTTTCACATGCACTACATCAGGGGTAGCCAAACTCCGGCCCTCCAGCTGTGGTGAAACTACAAATCCCATGATGCATCTCTCTCTGGGAGTCATGTCTGTGGCTGTGGGAATCAAGCAATGCCTCATGTGATTTGTAGTTCCACCACAGCTGGAGGGCCGGAGTTTGGCTACCCCTGCACTAGATCAATGCCAGTCAACGCAAAGGCCCTTTTTACACTGCCTTTAGGTAGGTTGCTGTGCATTGTGCGGGGAAATGCTGCGGTGGATAGGAATGAAATGTCACTTTAAAAAGGTACAGTAAGGTGAGGGTGCTCTCCGCACACCTTTCAGCAGTCCCGGCCAATACACGAAGATGGTGCTTGTAGTAACTCCACGGATGGCACCGTGCAAAACGAACAATTGAAGAAATAGGTCACCAGCACTCAAAGAGTTTAAAAATGAATAAGTCCTTTTTATTGGACAATGGTGTCACGACAATCAAAAAGAGCCGACGTTTCGGGGCCACGCAGGGTCCCTTTCTCAAGGCAAAAAAAAGGTAAACAACATGTAGTAACAATGTAAGGCAACCCAGCCCAGCCAACCCTTAGCTGCACTTCAATTGTCACATAACCTCTCTTCTTACCTGTGAAGTAATTGCAGATTCTCTTGTCGAAGTCGGTTCTGTTGTTCACTTGTGGTGGCCGCATCTCTCTCCAGCTCGCTCACACGCTGCTCTAGGTACAGCACCTACAGAAGAAAAAGAGCAATTTGAGCAAGGCAGGAAGTTTAAAGAAGAACAACAACAGTCAACTCTCAAAACAAAAACGAACTCCCTATGCAATACACTGAACTCTGATGGGGTCAGTCCTGTAGTTCCTTTCACTGACCCCTAAATCACTGCCGAGTCCTGCATGCCCTGAGGTCAAAGAAGGAACCATAGCCCATGGAGGGGGACACAGTAATCCAACACTCCCAGAAATGTTGACTGCTGAACAGCCTCACAGGGCTGCAGCCTAAAAGGAAGGGAAGAGGTAGGAGACACGGACCACTGGATAGGCGAGTATACTACCTCTTCTCTTATAGGGTAGTAGGGAGGCACCGATACCATTTTTTCAGTATTGAGTACCGATATTAATCTTTTTCGGTACTCGCCGATAGCGAGTACCGATGCTGGTACTTCTGCTAGCACAGAGCGGGATTCCCTGTGCGATGAAGAAGCCGCCTGGCTTCTTGTTTGCCCGGCAAGCCGGCTTCATGCTGTTTGACTGGCTCGATGCCCAGCCAATTAGCATCGAGCTGGCTTCACAGGTCAATCAGGAAGCTGGGTAGAGAGTCATTACCCGCCGTCTGGCTTCCCGATTGGCTGGGAAGCCGGCTCCATGTTCCCTCGCGGCACTGCCGGTCAGAGGAAATCTTCCCCTGACTGGTAGTTCCAGCATCGAAGGCAAGTATTGGAACATTTCGGCGGGTACATGCCCAAGTACTCGGTATCGGCACCAATACCGATACTAATATCGGTATATCCCTACAGGGTAGTGCTGTTTTGATTTGTTTAGAGACTAGACAGACTCTCAATTTATGAAACATTGAAGCCCCCAATTTGTAGCTAATAACCTTTGAACAGCGATGTTACCTTATCAGTGAGATCCGTCTCATCATACGCCATGTGTGTCTCCTGTTCTTCCTCCGGCTCTTCCCCCAGGAATCCGCTGTTATGTAGCCTCCTACAGAACAGGAAACAAGTTTAAAGGATTGGGGTGGAAAAGAGGGTATTTTCCGATGCAGCGGTGATAAAGAAACACCGGCAGAAAAATGGCAAAGAAGATTTGTTTTAGATCTCCTCTGCTAATAGTGTATCAGCGGTTGTCATCTTTCCAGGATGCCTGCCCAAATATGAAAAGGCCAGGAATGAGGATGCTATTTCAGGTCCTGATTGATGTGCATATGTGGTTGTTGAATGAACACTTCCAATCTCTCATAATTGATCTGCAGCTGCCAGCATTGCCCGTACATGCCCAGACTTGGCCATTAGCATGGATGGATCAGGCTGTCAGCAGCAGAGTATAAAATATTATGTCGCCCTAATCTGCACTATACAGAGGACATATATCATACAAACACAACAAAACTTAGGTTGAAGACAAGCCCTAGTTTATTGCGTCTCCTGATAACCTAAAACCCTCATATGTGTGTAGTGAGCCGTTCCTCCTATTTGCAAAGGAAGGATCGCTTATCTGTATTTCCCTTGCTGAGCTTGCATTAGGTCATAACCTTTGTCCGCTTGCAGAATGCTGTTGTATGGAAGTTCTACTTGCTAAAAATGTTACCCATGGGAAAAGCTTCCATCGCGGCTCCCAGACCACATACTAGTTGCAGGACACAAACCGATATTCCGCGCACTAGTGACAGTAAGCCAGCTGTCATCTAAGGCCATTCACATGGGTAGTTTTCCTTCATAAAAGATTACCATTAAAGCAAACCTGTCACGTGTATAAAGTACTACAAGGAACCTCATGAGTTTGTGGGCTCATGCACATACAACACGCTGCGTTCAGATCTGTAATTTTTATGGATGCGACATCGGCTGTATTGTATGCTTTTTGCTCATTCACACGGCTCCGCCTTGGAGTGCTGCGGAACCAAAACTAGAAAAAACACAAGTGAAGAATGACCTCAGCTTTCAGTCATACTATATGACTGAATGCCACGGCCATTGGGCACCTGCACTGCCGCCTGGTGAATGCCTCATTCAGGGAGAGATGTACACAACAATGTGTAATCAGTGGTGCGGAATGTACGCATCTCAGCTCACATGGACATAAGTGTGTGATACAATAAAGACAACTTTTTACGCAGCAAGATCCCGCCTAAATCTTATATGGCCGTGAGCATGAGAACTAAAAAATGTATCTCAAGCCAAAACTTTTTTATTTAACTTCTGATGTCATGACTAAGGAATGGTTAAAACCCATCAGGTTTTTTTTGTCTGCCATCTATATCCTATTGAGGAGATTTCCCTTCAAGCAGTCCTGCAGAAGATGAGAGGAGATCTCTCTATACCAGGGATGGGCAAACTCCAGCTGCTGTGGAACTACAAATCCCATGAGGCATTGCAAGATTCTCACAGCCACAGGCATGACTCCCAGAGGCAGATGCATGGTGGGATTTGAAGTTTCCCCACAGCTGGGGGACAGAGTTTGCCCTCCACTGCTCCCAATGGAGGGAAATCCCCTCTTGGGCAGTTGTCACCAAAACAAAATATCCCGGTTGGAATATATCCCCTCCGGTCTGATACCGGTGACAACACAAATTATTTTATTACCCTCACTTTTAGTCCTGGTGACAATGGTCACCAATACAAATACAGAGTGCAAATCTCCCTAGGAGGCACACAGTGAAAGAGTGAAAGAAACCCTTGAGGACCAATACACAAAGAAAGAACTATGTGGTAGCATACGGGAAGGTTACAACTCCTAATAGATTTTTATTTCTGCTGAGTTCCTGTTGCAGATTTTTGCTCACTTGAAACTTCTGTCACCAGCACAGGAAGTAGGTGAAAATCACTAACTGTGCCCTTGACAACAGTAAAAACCAGACGGGGGTCTAATCCTTCCACACTCTGTCTGCCTTGACATACACTTTAAAGGTATTTTGCAAATTGCAACCAGTGTACAAACCTAAATTTGACTTATCAGCCTCTTGCAATCCCCTCTACAGCACAGCTATGAACAGTAAAGGGAGAGGCAAGACAGAGAGCCAGTCAGGTGTGTTTCATGAAAATAGTTGGCAGGTGACGAGAGCAATAAGATGACCTCACAAGTCTGCTGCTACTCCTTCACAGTCCAGTCAGCAGACTGGGGGTGGAAAGGGGACACCACAGCATTCCTTAAAGGGTGAATTAGGGAAAATGGAATTACCCCCTCCAATCTGGCCCCTGCTCATCCCGCTTAGCAAAAAGCAAAGTACTTCAGAAGTAGTTCTCACTGGTCAGCGTAGCCAGGTGGAAGAGGTCATTCCATTTTCCCAGATTCGCTGTGTAAATCTTAGGACGTGATGGAGAGAAATACAAGACCTTTTGGCAGGTAAAACAGCTTCCTCATACGCATTCCATCTGTGGTATTAGCTGTTTGCCTGGAGATCAGCTTTAACAATGACACCACGGCCTTCCTAATGTTGACTCAGGCTTGCAGAGCAGGACTCTGTAAAACCAATGTCAGCCGAGCATGGTTCAGGTCACTTACCGGGCCTCCTTCCTGCTGCAGGTCCTCTTGTCGGGGCTGTAGGAGAGATAAAAGGGGGACAGTATAAATGAGAGTGAAAGAGGGAGACAGCGAATAAACAAGAGGAAGGAGTGGGAAGGTGAAACAGCCTGTAACACAAAGCTTCCACCACACAACACACGCAGAAGCTATGAGAGGCTCAAACAGGCACAGCATGCAAAGCAAGTGCAGGAGAGGTAAATATATGCCATGCGGCACGGCGAGGCTGCGTATCACCCGGCAAACAAGAGATATCTGAATACCAACAGGGAGAGAAAACAAGTTATGGAGGGGAAAACGTACACCAGTATAGGCTCTGAAGATAGCGGCGGTGAGAAAAAAAAAAGTTAACGGTCACATGACCTCCCTATCAGTAGAAGTGCTGAGATTATTCCTATTTCCTGCACCAGGAAAAAACAATAAATGGAGCTCATCCAATCACATCTCTCCCCTGCCCCCCCCACATCTGTCATCTCGTATGATAAGTGCAAACCGGGGCGGAGGAGCTGACACATGGCTGCTGGCTACCTTCATACGAGACTGTAGGAGAGGTATGTGCCTCACATAGATGATTTTCACTGTACAGTAATGACGAGTTGTGTCGGCAAAGAAAAATTAGCTTTGCATCCTCAGTGCTCCAGCTGCTGTGGAACTACAAGTCATAGCCACATGCATGACTCCCAGAGGCATGATGGGATTTCTTTATGGGATTTGTAGTTTCACCACAACCGGAGGGCCGAAGTTTGGCTACCCCTGCTCTATAGCATGGGTAAGCAACCTTGGCACTCACTCCAGCTGTGGCAAAACTACAAATCCCATGAGGTATAGCAAGACTGACAGTCACAGGCATGACTTCCAGAGGCAGCGGCATGATGGGATTTGTGGTTTTACCACAGCTGGAATGCAGAGGTTGCCTACCCCTGCTATAGAGTGCGACTTGAACGACCGCTCTGAACATGCTGGGCCTGTTGACATCACATTCAAGATGGCAGCGCCCATCAGCAATCTCAGGGCTTTTGGAGGTCTACACAAGGGAAGCAGTTACAGGTAAATGACATGCAAAAAAAATACATTAAATGTCCATCTATTCCTATGGGAAGAGTGTTAAAAATAAATGGTCTGATGACAGGGTCTCTTTAAAGTTTCCTTGCCTTTTCTCTCCCCAACTACCCTAAACAGCTCTAAACCACCCAGCCCTGTCAACGTTTTCTACTTACCTAGATAGTGCTGAGGCCCAAGGAAATGTTTACATCGGTGCCGGGGCCCATAGCAATGTTTACATCCATTGTCCAGTACAATCACACAGACTTCTATGGGGCTTGAACGCTTACTCTTGAATGCTCCGCTCTCCAGCAGCATATACTCACCTTTTCTATACTCCCCACCACTCAGTTTAGCTGATACATGGGTAAAGTTTGCTTTAAGATGCATTTACAAAGCTTTCCTGCTACATTTATAATGCATTGGTATGCATTCGGACTACATGCCCATTCGTTTCTAAAACAAGCAGCACAAGTGGAGTCATCCACGGCAGCAAACTGGTGTATTACACACAACACGTGCACTTTAAAGGCAGCAGCTGAATACTTGCACCTTTTTGACACTTCCAGATACTTGGAGCCCTCTGTAGTGTGAAATGCATACAACGCCTAATGCATCATCAATGCTTCTCGATCTTATACGTTTCATCATCTCCTATAAACTTTCCTTTACTAGTATTTCAAAGTACCAAAGCCGTAGAGACACACAAAGCAGAACATTTGTCATGCAGAGACTTTCCCACACATGCACAACAACCTTCCATAAAACTGGACAGGGAGAGGAACACTGGAGACCCTTTGTAAGAAGTACATGTGATTTAATGGGTAACTGAACACCCTTTATAAGTAATACTGGTTCAGTGGCGAATGGGTGGTATAAGGAGGAGGGCATTGAATTTTGAGAGGCAGAGCTATCTGCTTTACTTATTAAAGTGTCTTAGAGGTAATCTGTACCGAAGCAAAACGCCTGCATGGGATAGTCCTGATGCAAGCAAGTCTTCCTGAATCTATTTACTGCCTGGGAACATATGTAATATGTAAGCAAGGCAATGTAAAGCTTTATATTGTTTTGCTTCATGACAGGGCCTCTTTATAAGATTTGATAAGTCTTGATCAATAAATCAGCAAAGACAGCAATGTACAAAATGCCCTAGGACCAGGTTTTAGGGTACATTGCTCATTCAGTCACATGATCTTCTCCTGGAAGGGCCTCATTTGGTAGATATACCTCACCCTGTCATTACTGCATTACAGGCATGCATTGTCACCTGTCCATCTCAAGGTATCGGAGACGGGTAGATAAGTCTTCCAGGCGGTTGATATGTTTGTGGCACTGGCTGCAGTACAAGCCCCCTAGGGCTGGACAAGGTGGGGGTGCTAGAAGTTGGCGCTCCGACACAGGTGCACCACTGAGGGGGGGAACGCAAAGATTGTGCATGAAGATGTGTATACCTGACCTTACCGGGGGTATATAGAACATAATGAACTACTGCAAACTGTTATGCGTCCGTACGTTTTGCTGCGTGCAGAGCTTGGCACTTCACAAGTAATATGACTATATCTGGAGTAGGCAAACTCAAGCCCACCAGCTGTGGTGCATCAACAAATTCCATTAGGCATTGCAAGACTCTGACGGCCACAGGTATGACTCCCAGAGACAGATGCACCACACCACAGTCAGAGTGCAGGAGTGTGCCTACCCCTGGACTATATGATACAGTGGAAAGGATACCCTTCCTGTGTACACAGGGTGTTTTGGCAGATCTTAAAGGAAGTCCTTTAGGTTGTGTCCTTTGTCTGTGTGACTCCACTCTTTAAAGGAGAACTATGACATGAGTGATTTCTAGGGCTGCAACAACTAATCGACATAATCGATTATAATCGATTATTGAAAAAGTTGTCAACTTTTTCAATAATCGATTAATCGGCTTTTGATAAGGTGCCCCTGTCCACAGCTCCACACACGTTGCGCGCCCCACCTCACGCTCGCCGCTGCCAGACCCGCCCGCATCCAAGCTACACACGCCGCATCAGACAGACACCACAGGTGGCCACCAGGGGGAGCAAAGAGAATCAATACACCTGCAGCAGCCAGTGTGGATACACCTTCTCACTTTAAAGTTGGCGGGGGGGATCTGAGGCACCTGATGAGCATAAAAAGCATGTGCCAAGTGCTTCCTTTTAAAGCCTATCTCCGGGGGGAAAGTACCCTTACAGTGGGGATACTACCGCACTACAAAAACTAAGCCCATTTTTGTCTAGGGGACTAGTGTAAAGGACTTTTACTTACTTGACCATTGCTTGGAGGTCATGGCTCAATGGCTCACCTCCTCCATTTTGGCTTGTGATCTGTCCCTCGGCATCCTCAAGTATAACGTAAGTGATGTCAGCGGGCCCTTGACCGCCAAAACGGAGGGGAGGAGAGAGCATGGGTGCCGGTCTTGGAGCCTGCAGGAGCAGAGATCAAGTAAAGGTGGCCATACACTGATCTATTTTTTTTCGTTCCACCTGCGGGCTGAACCTAAAAAATAGACCCGATTCCTCCATCAACACTAACAACGTGTCAGTCGAGGAACCTCTGCTGTTTACACTGTCAGAATACCTTACCAGAGCGGGCAGCCCATTGGCTGCTGGCTCTGAATGTACGAAAATTCAGCTGATCGAAGGGTGCCAGCTGAAAGGGTGCCAACAGCTCCACACACTGCGATTTTCCTCAAACACCAGCCAAAATTCGCACAGAGCACGGGCACCCTTAATAATAGTCCTTTGCATACGTACCTAGACATAAACGAGCAGTTAATTCTTGCACTGTTGGGGTAGCCCCACTGCAAGGGGAGTTTTTTTTTGGAGATAGGCTTTAAAGAACATGCGGAAGAGCCCTAAACATCTATCCAAACCTACCTGTGGTTATCGGAGGTAACCCCTGTTTTCAATATGGTCCCATCTCTCTGCAATAATGAACTTCCTAAACTCGGCACACAGCAAAACAGGTGAGAGCAGATGAAACATCTGTCTGTATACAGTCTGATGAATAAACCTTCTTCAAGTAAATCTGGCACCACAACATTTATATTATTTTATATTACTTTTGCATCCATTTCCAGATGCCTGTATTTAACATACAGTGAATCCAAGATTTGTTTTTTTTTTTATATGCTACGTAGACCTGAGACATATTCTTTGAACATCTCAGCTTTAATGCCAAGTCAAGAGCTGTGACCATCTCCCTGCATCCTATAATTCAAAGCACACACCACTCTGCCTGTCTGCGTGACCTGTTAAAAGGCGCAAGCTTTAAGATGCAGGGGTTGTACCACAGTTCTTGTCTGGTTGTTGAGATTTTTATATAGCGCAGGTCTGATTCACGTCAACGGAAGCAAATCTGGATTTAATAGAAGACAAGTGCAGACACATTACCAAAATGCCACCTTTGTTAAGAAAGTGCTGTAACCCCATTACAGTGAATCTGTCATTAAAATAAATATTAAAAAAATATAGAATATTAAAAAAAATAAAGTGAAGGCACCTAGAATGCCCACCCACCCTAGTAGCAGCCTCCCAAGTCCAGTTCTGATAAGCCAAGCTCCAACACTTCTTAGCCCCCACATATTCCTATTGGCCTAATACTATGATTGACACCTTCACTGGTCAATAAGAATATGCCGGAGGAGGTGGGCAAGCTTTGGTACTATCATAATGGCCCGGTATCACCATGACAGGAGGGCTCGGGAGGCCGCCGCTGGTGTGTGCACGGTTTTTTCATTTTATTTTGAAGACATTCTCCTTAAAAAACTTATACAGTGCCTTCTCTGCTTCCCACAAAATGTGGCTTTAAACATCCTACATTGCTGCTAGAGTCCTGACCTGAAAATGGCTGTTGTCAGGACTTCTTACCAAATTTTGTCAGTGTTTATGTGCCCTAAATTCTCTCACCTCACTGGCGATCTTACCTGGAGGTGATGCGTTGTGTGCTGTTTGACGTTTGGGTGAAACTGTCCGGCTCATCCTCGCAGTGACTGTTGAACATGTCTGGTTCCGCTCCTTCACCAAAATCCTCAAACTGCTCCTCTTGGCCAGCGACTGTGACCACAGATATGTCACATAGAGAGAGCTCCAGACCTTCAGGCCTGAGAGAGAAAGGAAGAGTGAGTTGGGGCAGAAGGTGGACAGGTGAAAGTAGAGGGCACCCTATAGGAATTACACAGATTAAGCATTACAGTGTCTTCCTTTCACTTTCTGACCTGCATTGGGAGAATGCAAAGGAAGAAACTGATTGTGAAGGTCCCCTCACCCTATAAAGTTCTACATCTCGTAATTCCCTTTCTGCACGTCTTGGTCAATTCTAGAAATTAATTCTAGAAGTGGAACTATCAGAGACTTGCACCCTGTGGATTTAGGGATGCCAAGTAGAAATCTTGGAAGTGGAGCCATCAGAGACTTGGAGCCTGCAAATTGAGGGATGTCGCCTAGAAGTCATGGAAGTGGAGCTATCAGAGACTTGCAGCCTGTGGATTGAGGGATGCCCCCTAGAAGTCTTGGAAGTGGAGCTATCAGGGACTTGCAGCCTGTGGATTGAGGGGTGGTGGCTAGAAGTCATGGAAGTGGAGCTATCAGAGACTTGGAGCCTGTGGATTGAGGGATGGTGACTAGTGATGGGCGTGTCCGCAAGCGCCTCGTGCCGAGCCCGCCGGGAAGCTGTCAGCGCGAAGGGCCAATCACAGGCACAGACATTTCCCGATCTATGCAGCTGCGGACCGGGAACATGTCTCAGTGCCTGTGATTGGCCCTGCGCGCTGACGGGTTCCTGGCGGGCTCGGCACGAGGCGCTTGCGAACACGCCCGAGCCCATTACTACTGGTGACTAGATGTCTTGGAATTGGAGCTATCAAGGACTTGCAGCCTGTGGATTGAGGGATGCAGACTAGAAGTTTTGGAAGTGGAGCTATTAGGGACTTGGAGCCTGTGGATGTTTTTAGTTTTTGATACAGTAGGAGAGGGTGTAAACTCATAATGAGTTTATTTTTTGCGACCTATTTCCCATTAGGGAGAATTTCAACCACTTCCTGCTCAAGAAACAACAGAAGTGGGAGGAAATCTCTACAAAATGTGGGGAATTTCCCTCTAAGACCGAAACAGTGGTCTCCATTGGAAAAATCTTCCTCAACTCTTGTTCTGGTGGCAAATTTTTGGATCTTCCATCACCTTCGGTAGCAAAGGTTAGCAGGACAGAGAGAGAGAGGGAATTCATTTTATGAGGTTAAGGGATGTCCTACTAACTTTGAGAAAATATAGGAGAGAAAGGCCCGGCCCCATGTGAACACCAGATCTCAGAATGAATCTCTTATACACCCAAATAGCTCCAGACACGCACTCTATTAACCCAAACAGATTTTAGTTTCTATATATACGAAAGGTTGATGAATATTCTTCATTTTACAGCCGTATTATCTTTCATAATCCTTTCTATTGGTAGCTGCACAACACTATTATATTAGTTTTATTTCCCTTCATGCCAGGTCTTCCTTGTTAAAACCAAGACAAAGGATTGCATTCTTTACAATGTGCTTCCATTGTAACCAGATTTTTCCTAAGACTCCTTTTATTGTACATTGACAATGGATAACATGGTAATCTGATTTGTTACCATTTGTTCAATAAACATGACTACTAAAATAAAATGACAGTTTCATGGGCGTCTCGAGGGTAGGCGACACCCGGAGTGGAGATTGGGCGACACTCAACTGTGGCGTCATTGCGCATGTGTGGTGATGGACGGCGGCAGAGAGAGGAGGGGACGTTAACCTGGCGGGATGAGGTATGCCGCCGGGTCCCCTCCTCTCTCCTGACACCGTCGGGCTCTCGGTCAATGACCGAGTGCCTGACTTTTCAGAGGGGGTGACACCAAAATGACTGGCACCCCCCTTGTGACGCCACTGGACAGTTTCTAGCCCTTTCCCTGCTCCATCAAAAGCATAAAAAAGGAAATATTTTGGCTATACACACACACTTCAAATAAGCCTGGTGTATTACCAGAACAAAACAATACAAGGGAACAGCGTAGACCTAATCTATAGAGTGTTGGTGCTAAAAAAAATTCAGCTCTTTAAATCAGCCAGAAACATTTTACAAGTTCCTATGTACAATGCAATCACATATTTAAATTGGTATTCCAAATATGAATTTAATGTTCATTAGATTATATCATAGATTCAGAACTACAGAATAACAAGCAAATAAAATGAGAAATATTTAGGGCCTGACATCTACCGAAATGGTCAAAGTTATGTGTACACCCCTCCAAAATTAATGAGTTCAGATGCTCCCATTGAAGGCTACTTTTATTGCAAGAGCATAGATATAGCCAGCTTCATATAGATATGGTTTGGCAAGTCTGCTGTGGAGAACTCGAGTGGCCTTCACAGAATCTTGACCTCAACCCTACTGAGCACCTTTAAAATGAATTTGAATGCCGGTTGCAAGCTCGTACATCAGTACCTGAGCTCACAAATGCTCTTTCGTATGTGGGGTACAAATTCCCATAGACACCCTCCAAAATCTTGTTGAAGGTCTTCCTAGCAAAATGGAGGCTGTTATAGCCACAAGGGATTAGGCCATTACCTTCATGTTAATGCCCATGGTATTGAAATTAGATGTTCAACAAACTCATATAGATGTCATGATCAGGTATCCATAAACTTTTTGGACATCTAGGGGTTCATTTAGAAATTCTTGTACTTGTCAGCGCCATCTAGGGGTGCTAGTGCCGTGCAGACCTTTTATAAAGAAACTCCATAGTGTATTTCATCTTTTAGTTGTTGCCAAATCAAAAAAGCAGACTACAGCCTTATATGCCTCAAAAACAGATTTGTGTACTTTGGGTTCCAAGTTCCGCCCACCTGCCATAGCTTCGGCAGCAGCATGGACACAGCAGAGCTGGACACTCAAGTAGGGAGCTTTTGCCACTGGCATTCTTAATAAAAGAAGCCAGTGGGAAAAAATTGATCTGCAACCTACTGTAACTAAAGCATAAATTCTGGGTGGACAGACCCTTTAACTTCAGTCTGAAATGCAGAAGGCCTATTCACAAAAATACTCACGATGCAGATGTATGTCTGCGAGACCCTGCCCCATCACCCTCCGTTTCTGGGTCTTCCTGAGCCGCCAGTCCTCCCGTGTCCTCATCCGTGAATGTCTCACACTCACTGTAAGCACTCTCTGAGCCCACATAGGCGCTGTCCGTCACCTCCGTCACCTGTGGGGACACAGACGTTAATAGTAAGAAGAAAAAAAAAGTCTGAAGACTATACTTCAAAATGTAAAGCTGAAACTTATCATGTAATCAATGTAGGTCCATGCAATACAAACAGATCATTAATGGTGGAAGGGTCTGGCAGGGTGTGTAACCCTTCTAACACTATAGTCCTTTCCAGCCTCCAGCATCCAGCCCCATGCCATCAGCTCATCCTTAAGAATGAATGGGGCCTTGGTACGCATGCGCAGTAGGAAGAGGAGCCAGCCTGGGATGTTTTAGTTACAAAGGCTGTGCAGAGCTGCACGGTAAAGTTTGCTAAAAGGTACAGATGTTCTTAAAAAGTATTAACATACTCTTAAGCAGTAAAATTGCTTTAAGGCTGGGTTCACACCTGGGCGTTTTTCAGCACTAATCGAAGCGCCGAAAAACGCTCAAGAAGTGAAATCCTATGAATCCCTATGGGCATGGTTCCCACCTGGGCGTATTTCAGCGCGATTTGTCACGCTGAAAAATGCCCTACGCGCAAAAAGTACTTGAGCTTCTTCTTCACGCGTAGGGGCCAATTTCAGCGTCTATCCATTGGTATTCCCGAGTGTGGCTCGGGATTAACAAAGCGGTAACCCCGAGCCACACTCGGGAATACAGCGTAGGTCTTACCTTGCCTGGGAGCCCCGCTGTGTCCTCCGGCCGCTTCCGGGTTCTGTCCCTTGCGAGCGGCCGCGTCGCAGGGGGGTGGAACAGGCGGGAAGTTTGAAAGTTAAAAACACAAAATAAGAAAACGAAAAAAAGATAGAGAAAAAAAGGAGAAAAAAAAAAAACCATACCGCCAGGAAGGTTAAAAAACGAGCATCGAACTCGCGTTTCATTGGACTAAAAAAACGTGCTGAAAACGCACCTACTAGGAACGCCCAGGTGTGAACCCAGACTAAAACAAGCCTACACTGACCTCTGTAGCCATAGATATTGTAGAGTAATTCATCGTCATAGGTAACAACAGAGACTCTGTAATCGTGTGCCAGTTGGCTCCTAACAGCTTACGGCAACCGCTGTTTGGCTGGTAGACAGCTAAGTCCCCACTGCCAGAGAAAGCGAGGGAGATGAGCTGCGACTTCAGTGCCTCTGATGTGGATGTTGAAGATTCATTTCTCCACAGCGCCTGCAGTTATGGAGATCAGCAAGGGCTTGGTTTAAAGCTCTTATATTGCTTGTTACCAATATGTAAAATGTTTTAATGTCTATAGTCTTAATGTGGTTTAAAGTGACACTAAACTCAGGAGGTAAATCTTAAACATTCATTCAAGTACCTTATCCATTACCAAAAAATATATCTTATTTGTGTATCACTCGGCTGTAGATCCTCAAATCTCTGAATTGGTGCCGACACTGTCCTTCCTTCTGCAGGGTGGCTACTTTTGTTCCCCATGGTCCCTGTGTGTGTGTTGTAAAGTAGTCACCGCTCCAAGCTCACTCCTGTGATGGACTACAATCTCATGTTTAGTTTACTAATTTGTATTGAGATTGTAGTCCATCATGGGAGTGAGCTTGGAGCGGTGACTACTTTACAACACACACAGGGACCATGGGGAAGAAAAGTAGCCACCCTCCAGAAGGAAGGACAATGTCCGCACCAATTCAGAGATGAGTTGAGGATCTACAGCCGAGTGATACAGAAATAAGATACATTTTTGGTAAAAGTTCAGGTACTTGAATGAATGTTTCAGATTTAACCCCTGAGTTTAACGTCACCTTACATTCTTCTTGCACAAAAAACATAAAATCCCACTATTATTGTGCTGTACTGACTGTGTACACAGGTCACCCTTATTAACTCTGCTGGTTTATATCTAATAAGACTAACCGAGTCGGGTTTATAATTAAAAACACATTCTGCCAGAGGGCTTTTAAGGTTGTAAGGGTGACTGCAGGGTAAGAACAGGGACGTCGTATTGCTCAAAGGGACAAGAAGGCCGGGAAGGACGAGCCTCTGCCCTTCCTGTCCCCTACAATGTTCTCCATACTCAGCATAAACGTTATCTGAACAAAGTTCAGGAATCTGTGACAGAAAATAAGACAGAAGAGACAGTTTTTTTTTAATCATGGTGTAAAATGGAACAAAATTGGCCAAGGCGCATACTAGAGGATGCAGTTGAAGCGTAGATTTGCATCAGTGCGATGCGTTGTATGTGTGCTGCTCATTTACATACATGTGTGTTTTAGACACATTAATAATGAATTCTATATAATGAGTATTCTTGAATTCTATATAAAAGGAGTATTTTGACTGAAACGGCATCATAGATGCAGCAAGCAGGACTTCTACTGCATCGCAACACGCACATAGGAATGGGGCCTCAGGGTCAAGAACAGGCAGGCTGTCTCAGAGGTACTCAATGGGCACAAAGCTACATTCCTGTGCCCGCTGAAGCATATCCCAACACCACCTTGCATTGTGTGTACATAACCCCCTCCATTCCCCATGGAGATAAACAGCTCTTTAAGGTAACAAACACCTACCAGGCAATCAACATTTTCTGATGCAGTATACATGAGGCCTTCTACAGAGAGCTGGTCCTAGCCACGGACAGTCGGACTCCCCGACACCCCGAAATACATTGAGCTTGTTCCTTTTTGCTTCCCTACTTTATGCTTATGGACATATCTTAAACTGGCCACACGCACACATCGCATTTTACCTGGCCAAACATGTTCCAAACTACCTGTACACTCTTTTTTAGATTTTACCAAACTATGGAACCCACCTAAGAAATCTATCCAGGTTATATCCAGGGAGCGACGGCCTTACACTACGTAGATGTTGGCAAATCAAAAAGCAGATTTTACACATAGATGGTACCATGTGTGGCTAAAGAAAATCAACTCTTGTGGAGTCAGCTGCTACCTGCAGGGCCCCCACATGGCTTGCACATTGGCCAATTCTGCAGAAACTGGCTGATATTAAAGCCGTTAATGGTTAGCATTAGGCTGCTGTGCCCCTACCTGGTAAAAGGAAATGTTAGCTGCTCCAAATAGTGTCCTGGCAGATCATGAGTAAATCAAAGGGAATGATTTGCAAAAATTGGGAGAAGTGAAGAAGCTGGCTGATATTAAAGCTGTGAATGGTTAGCATTAGACTACTGCGCCCCTACCTGGTAAATGTAAAAGTTAGCTGCTCCAAATAGTGTCTCCTGGCAGATCATGAGCCAATCAAAGGGAATGATTTGCAAAATTGGGGCGGTTTAGACACCACCCTGCAGGAAGAGGGGTACTTGATACCAATGCACGGGGGAGAAGGGTTTCTGTTTTAAAAGGAGCGTGTTGGGTTTATAAAGCTGACCGGATAACCTGAATGTACCACATGTCCTAGAAGCTCGAGGAAGACATCTGTGTTTGAAGACCAAAGTCATACGACTAATATTTATACAACAATTTGTAGAGCACACCATTGACGTGGATGGGGGAGCTGCATGTAAGGCGGCACAATATAGTACTTCTATAAAACATTCTAGTCAAACATGATCTTTGCACACCGAGGTGCATTTCATGTGATCTCTGAACGCCGGCAGTCATTTAATCTGCAACCAGATACTCCCCAACCATGGCCCTTCTCAGCGGGAATATAGGCTGCTCTCCCGGCAGGCAGCGGTCCGGGCCTCCCTGTATACACAAAGAGCTGCGCTGTCATGGAATCCCAGGGGAATTATCAGCCTGTGGGATGCAAATCCATTACCGCAGAGCAACCAGCAAATACCCAAATCAGCTACAGGTAACGACACCTGCGATATAGTAATCTGGGAATAAAGGTGACCGATGGGCGCTAACCAGTGAGGAAATTGTGGGAAGCACTGCAGAAAATGTAAACACCCGTGACTTTACACAATGGGGTACGTGGGTACCCCATTGTGTAGACTGGGGTACCCATGTGACCTTACAAGTCCCAGCAACCAATGACAATCAAGACATTACCCCCCATAGAATAGGGCGATACTATTTCCACCACAAGTGCCGCACCTCCTGTGTTGCCTTTGACCAACTTTAAAGCCAATCCCTTGTGTTTCATGACAGATCTGCCGGTGTATGGCCGTCAACAGCTGAAAGGATGAACAAGAGATCCAGTTGTCCTCTAATTGGCTGTCTGCATGGACCAATCGCTTGCTTGTTTAATGATGGAGACACATGTACATAATGAAACACTTTTTTTCTTTCAAGTCCATGGTGCGTGCAACAAAAACTTACTTCCCCTGTGAACAAAAAAAGTGAATAGTGAAATCACCACACTTAAAAAAAAGTGCACAAGGGTGCTGTGGTCCTCCTCCGAAGAGGACGGGCCCCAAAATTCCAGAGCCCCCAACGGGGCACAAGGCTCCTGAGAGAGGCAAGGACGACCTACCCAAAGGCCGGCGGACCCCAATCCTCAGGGACCTACCGAAGTAGGTCCTACGAGTACTGGGTGGGGGCTCTCCCAAAGAGAGACCCCCGAGTGGGAGGAGGCAGGGGAGCCCATAAAGGCCACAGAACCTGCTCCCAACTTCAGGACGGGCGCCGAAGACACCCGCACCCTCCGTCATTCTGTGGAGTCAAAAGTGCAATTGTGCATAATAAGTGCCGGTGCACAAACCTGGCAGGCCAGCCGGTCAAGGTAAAATATTGGCCCCGGGCTAGCCAGAAGGTCTGCACAAGAGGCGTGGTGCAGAAAATGCTTTAGGTGCCGTGACCTAGTGATGGTGTATCAAGTGGGGTCCCAAACCCATATGATTTTCCGGCACACCCTGGGACGCCACCCCCCAGGGGGCACACCATCGCGGGGCTCTGCGCCCCCCGAACCCTCCAGCCAGACATGCTGTACGGAACAATCCTATTTTTATGTCTATGGCCAGCTTGCGATACGTTCTCAGCCACGTCAACCCGCAAAGCCATTGCAACAGGGCAAGGGAGTTTTAGGTTGACTCATATCTGCTGCAGGAGGAGAGACGCTCCATTGCCAGAGCCGGAGGTGCCACTGG